TCAAATAAATAAAATCTTAAAAAAAAAAAAAAAGAAGTTGGAGTTTGGGAATGGTGGTGGTAGTGGGAAACAGACTGAAAAGTGAGTTGGGACCGTAGTGCAGAAGGCTTGGAGTATGATGTGGAAAGATCTGGACTTCAAGGGGGAAGAAATTGATGACATTGGATCAGGATGCTGGGTAAACTTCAAATTCTTCGTGTTCTTCTTCCAGATATTACACTCTGGGGCATGGAGTTGGGCCTTCTGAGCATGAGGAGAGGAGAGCTGGCCAGGTTTCTGTTCAAACCAACCTATGCCTATGGAACGCTGGGCTGCCCTCCTTTGATCCCCCCAAATACCACTGTCCTGTTTGAGATCGAGCTGCTTGACTTCCTGGACTCTGCTGAGTCAGACAAGTTTTGTGCCCTTTCAGCTGTAAGTTCTGGAGCATAGATGTCCATACTTAAAAGAGAGAATGGGTTTGTGTTTTTGGTAATTACCTTTCTCTGATGGTGATCCTTTGCCCCCCATTCCACCCCGGGGCTCCTGTGTGGTGGTGGGGGGGGTCCCTTATTTCCTGGTATATATCCATCTTAGTAATGACTCCTGTGTGGGGGCAGATGAACTAGGCCGAGGCCCAACCTTGGGTTTGTTCTGGACCAGCAGTTTGAGGTGATTTTTAGTCACCCTTTGCCTAGTTCTCCCTGCAAGACCATGAGCATTTGCTTCTCAACATTAAATTTGGTTTCTAGCAAGCATTGGTAGTGGTCGACTAGGGTGAACATATGCTTTATTGTCCAACCTAAAATGCTTGAGAGCAAAGGAGATTATTAACTGGCTGAGATCCCAGGACATCAGGTGTAGACTGGGAAAGTCCCAGGCCCATGGGGGCACATGGCCTCTGTCCCCATAACTTTAAACATTCCCTTGCCTTGTAGCCTTTCACTTAACCCATCACACAGAACTAGGGCTTGTTATCTCTTCAGCAGCCATACACACTCTCACTCATGCTGTCCCACACGGACTGTGTGTGTGGCCTTAGATGTCCACCTAGGTTTATATCTGGATATGATGTCTCCCCCACTAAACTGCCATCACCTCAAGTGAGGGCCCTTACCTTTTTCTCACCTTTCCACAAAACAGAGGTTCTTGCAAATCCCTGAGGCGCACCTGTGGTGTACTGACTGAGAATCTCTAGGTGGGGATAAGGCCAGGACATTGTGTTTGAAGAGAGGCTCTGTGGGTGATTGACATGTACCCAGGGTACAACATTGTGGCCAGGAAGACCAGTAGGGTCCCGGGCAGACGAAGACCTGTTAAATGCTTGTTGGATAAATGGTTGTTGTGAGACCTGCTTTCCATGCTTGGCAAGTTCCATCAGTTTCTAATTCTTCAGGGAGCATCTCTGGAAGGACCAAAGGAGTAGACCACTTTTTGGCTCTAGTGTATAAAATGGGACTAGTAATACCTTTAGCTTTTGCTGGGAGCCACAGAGATGACCTCTGCAGGGTCACCAAGCCCAGAGCTTGGCACACACACCGCCACTAAACGAAAGTGCACGATGTGAAGGAGAAAAACTAACATCTATAACAGCACTTGCATCGTGGTGTTGTGGCTTTCAGTTTCCTTGCTGGGTGTCCTTGTCTTTGGTCCTCAGGAGCAACAAGATGAGTTTCCACTTCAGAAGGTCCTAAAAGTGGCAGCTACTGAACGGGAGTTTGGCAACTACCTTTTCCGCCAAAATCGTTTCTATGATGCCAAAGTGAGATATAAGAGGGTAAGGATGCTTTAGAAGTATGAATTTAGACCCTGAAAACATTCTTTTTTTTTTTTGAAAGTTCTTTTTTTTTTTATTCTTATGTTAATCCCCATACATTACATCATTAGTTTTAGATGAAGTGTTCCATGATTCATTGTTTGTGCATAACACCC